AAGCCATTTTGAAGAATAGAATTATTGAGAGACCACATTGAATTCCTGCAACTAGGGGTGTGAACATGGATACGAATAATTTCTGTTTAACGAAGTTATTGTGGATAACAACCGCTAAACTGCTGGTGAAATTATGAGTAAACAAGTATCACCAGGCAATTACAAATATACACCTGATAACATGAAAATACCCAGGATGAACTTTTGTGCACATTTCTCAACATATACATAGATAATTTTATCATATTGAAAATAAGTCAAAATGTGCTTTCATCCCTATGAATGTAGTATCAAAGTCTGTTCTATCAAAATGTGCTGACTAAATAGATATTACAATATTACGGAGAGTGAAGATACACTGACGAGAAAATGTCTCAAGCCACGTGACATAAACAAATTGATGAATTCTGACATGAATAAATGGAAACAGTAAATAAAATTCACTAGGCAGATGCAACAGAAATAGGCATGAGAGTGGGAATTTTAAATATGCTGAATATGAGGATACAGATAAGGTGTGAAACAACACTCGGAACATGCTGAGTAAATTCAAACTGTGCCTTTCTAAATAGTTCGGGTAGGCGTAACTCTCTGTGCCCATAAGGGAACACCTGATCTCTCAGTAGGTTGTAATGCAGGCGATTTGTGGAAGTCAGTTCGGTGGAGACCAGAATTCAAATGAACCAACCAACCACATAGTCTGAGCAGAAACCAGTGTTGCACTGCACAGTCAGCATACTGTCAGACATGCTTGTAATCACTGCTAGGTTGTCGTGTCCTTCTCAAACCCAGACGTCACCTCCTCCAGTCGAGAATAAAAGTTTCTGTCTTCTTTCGTCTTCAATCTCTCGTCCACCTTGTCAGTAGACAATCACGACAATCACAAATAGATGCAATCATCACGAAGACTCTGAGGATGGTACTGGTTTCTGAACAGACTCTTTCAATTCACCATTCGTAAATGAAATTCAATACGTGTACAGAACCGATCTGGATAGGCACAACAAATTATGAAAACGTTGTGCACTGACACAAACTAGTATTGTGAAGAAGTGATATTCGCTGTATGCCTATGTACTCACAGAGAAAGAATGAACTGGCAATTTCTTCATTAGCTTCCGAATGATATTATGTTGTCATGAATATTCATTTATAGAATTAAATAAAATTTTTTTCAATAAATCGATCAATGTTTCCCACATAGAATGTCACTCTCGTAAGTTGATTTGTATTATTTTATATTTCGGTATAATGCACGAATTATTTCTTGCAATAAAATTCAGAAAGCACCATCAGTTACGGTTCTCGCGTAGTGCACGAATTATAATGTGTGAAAATGTATTCCAATAATTTCTGTTTAACGAAGTTATTGTGGATAACAACCGCTAAACTGCTGGTGAAATTATGAGTAAACAAGTATCACCAGGCAATTACAAATATACACCTGATAACATGAAAATACCCAGGATGAACTTTTGTGCACATTTCTCAACATATACATAGATAATTTTATCATATTGAAAATAAGTCAAAATGTGCTTTCATCCCTATGAATGTAGTATCAAAGTCTGTTCTATCAAAATGTGCTGACTAAATAGATATTACAATATTACGGAGAGTGAAGATACACTGACGAGAAAATGTCTCAAGCCACGTGACATAAACAAATTGATGAATTCTGACATGAATAAATGGAAACAGTAAATAAAATTCACTAGGCAGATGCAACAGAAATAGGCATGAGAGTGGGAATTTTAAATATGCTGAATATGAGGATACAGATAAGGTGTGAAACAACACTCGGAACATGCTGAGTAAATTCAAACTGTGCCTTTCTAAATAGTTCGGGTAGGCGTAACTCTCTGTGCCCATAAGGGAACACCTGATCTCTCAGTAGGTTGTAATGCAGGCGATTTGTGGAAGTCAGTTCGGTGGAGACCAGAATTCAAATGAACCAACCAACCACATAGTCTGAGCAGAAACCAGTGTTGCACTGCACAGTCAGCATACTGTCAGACATGCTTGTAATCACTGCTAGGTTGTCGTGTCCTTCTCAAACCCAGACGTCACCTCCTCCAGTCGAGAATAAAAGTTTCTGTCTTCTTTCGTCTTCAATCTCTCGTCCACCTTGTCAGTAGACAATCACGACAATCACAAATAGATGCAATCATCACAAAGACTCTGAGGATGGTACTGGTTTCTGAACAGACTGTTTCAATTCACCATTCGTAAATGAAATTCAATACGTGTACAGAACCGATCTGGATAGGCACAACAAATTATGAAAACGTTGTGCACTGACACAAACTAGTATTGTGAAGAAGTGATATTCGCTGTATGCCTATGTCGTCACAGAGAAAGAATGAACTGGCAATTTCTTCATTATCTTCCAATCGTTCATATCCTCAGATGATTTCTACTAATTAATTTCGCTTTTTTTTTACATATTCTTACCTATATAAATTTATAAGGTTGTAATGTCTGTAAGCGGATATATTTTAAAATTATTTTATCCCACATATTTAATTTCAACATAAGAAATAATAATCCGAAGCCGCAAATCTAAGACTCACACTTAAGAGCATGCAATGTGGTGTGTGAATATGGATCCGAATAATTTCTGTTCAACGAAGTTATTGTGGATAACAACAGCTAAACTGCTGGTGAAATTATGAGTAAACAAGTATCACCAGGCAATTACAAATATACACCTGATAACATGAAAATACCCAGGATGAACTTTTGTGCACATTTCTCAACATATACATAGATAATTTTATCATATTGAAAATAAGTCAAAATGTGCTTTCATCCCTATGAATGTAGTATCAAAGTCTGTTCTATCAAAATGTGCTGACTAAATAGATATTACAATATTACGGAGAGTGAAGATACACTGACGAGAAAATGTCTCAAGCCACGTGACATAAACAAATTGATGAATTCTGACATGAATAAATGGAAACAGTAAATAAAATTCACTAGGCAGATGCAACAGAAATAGGCATGAGAGTGGGAATTTTAAATATGCTGAATATGAGGATACAGATAAGGTGTGAAACAACACTCGGAACATGCTGAGTAAATTCAAACTGTGCCTTTCTAAATAGTTCGGGTAGGCGTAACTCTCTGTGCCCATAAGGGAACACCTGATCTCTCAGTAGGTTGTAATGCAGGCGATTTGTGGAAGTCAGTTCGGTGGAGACCAGAATTCAAATGAACCAACCAACCACATAGTCTGAGCAGAAACCAGTGTTGCACTGCACAGTCAGCATACTGTCAGACATGCTTGTAATCACTGCTAGGTTGTCGTGTCCTTCTCAAACCCAGACGTCACCTCCTCCAGTCGAGAATAAAAGTTTCTGTCTTCTTTCGTCTTCAATCTCTCGTCCACCTTGTCAGTAGACAATCACGACAATCACAAATAGATGCAATCATCACGAAGACTCTGAGGATGGTACTGGTTTCTGAACAGACTGTTTCAATTCACCATTCGTAAATGAAATTCAATACGTGTACAGAACCGATCTGGATAGGCACAACAAATTATGAAAACGTTGTGCACTGACACAAACTAGTACTGTGATGAAATGATATTCGCTGTATGCCTATGTCCTCACAGAGAAAGAATGAACTGGCAATTTCTTCGTTAGTTTGCGAATGATTTTATCTATTATTGAACTTTGACCTTTTTGATTCAATTGCGTGAAAATTTATTCTTCGCTTCACATAAAAATTGCAGCCGGTGGTGTTAGTAAGCGAAAATATTTGAAAAAAATTTATTTACTATACGCTGCATTTCAATTTAACAAAATATTCCGAGAAGTCACACCCTTGAAAACTGACGCCTAAAGGAGTATCATATTGTGTGTGAACATGGATCCGAATAATTTCTGTTTAACGAAGTTATTGTGGATAACAACAGCTAAGCTGCTGGTGAAATTATGAGTAAACAAGTATCACCAGGCAATTACAAATATACACCTGATAACATGAAAATACCCAGGATGAACTTTTGTGCACATTTCTCAACATATACATAGATAATTTTATCATATTGAAAATAAGTCAAAATGTGCTTTCATCCCTATGAATGTAGTATCAAAGTATGTTCTATCAAAATGTGCTGACTAAATAGATATTACAATATTACGGAGAGTGAAGATACACTGACGAGAAAATGTCTCAAGCCACGTGACATAAACAAATTGATGAATTCTGACATGAATAAATGGAAACAGTAAATAAAATTCACTAGGCAGATGCAACAGAAATAGGCATGAGAGTGGGAATTTTAAATATGCTGAATATGAGGATACAGATAAGGTGTGAAACAACACTCGGAACATGCTGAGTAAATTCAAACTGTGCCTTTCTAAATAGTTCGGGTAGGCGTAACTCTCTGTGCCCATAAGGGAACACCTGATCTCTCAGTAGGTTGTAATGCAGGCGATTTGTGGAAGTCAGTTCGGTGGAGACCAGAATTCAAATGAACCAACCAACCACATAGTCTGAGCAGAAACCAGTGTTGCACTGCACAGTCAGCATACTGTCAGACATGCTTGTAATCACTGCTAGGTTGTCGTGTCCTTCTCAAACCCAGACGTCACCTCCTCCAGTCGAGAATAAAAGTTTCTGTCTTCTTTCGTCTTCAATCTCTCGTCCACCTTGTCAGTAGACAATCACGACAATCACAAATAGATGCAATCATCACGAAGACTCTGAGGATGGTACTGGTTTCTGAACAGACTCTTTCAATTCACCATTCGTAAATGAAATTCAATACGTGTACAGAACCGATCTGGATAGGCACAACAAATTATGAAAACGTTGTGCACTGACACAAACTAGTATTGTGAAGAAGTGATATTCGCTGTATGCTTATGTCCTCACAGAGAAAGAATAAACTGGTGATTTGTTCGATAGCTTCTCAATGATTTTATCTTTGATGAGTTTTCAATTATGTATTGCAAGTCTATATTATGTTGAAAATTTATTCAATGGAATATTTAAAGGTTGTTATGGACGTGAGTATATATTTTCATGCACTCTGTTCCTCCTTATAATCAATGTGAATTTGCGAATTATTTCCGCACGCATAATTATATGGATTTGAGATTTGTAGACAGCGAAATAATGTGCGAATATAGGATCCAAATAATTTCTGTATAACGAAGTTATTGTGGATAACAACAGCTAAACTGCTGGTGAAATTATGAGTAAACAAGTATCACCAGGCAATTACAAATATACACCTGATAACATGAAAATACCCAGGATGAACTTTTGTGCACATTTCTCAACATATACATAGATAATTTTATCATATTGAAAATAAGTCAAAATGTGCTTTCATCCCTATGAATGTAGTATCAAAGTCTGTTCTATCAAAATGTGCTGACTAAATAGATATTACAATATTACGGAGAGTGAAGATACACTGACGAGAAAATGTCTCAAGCCACGTGACATAAACAAATTGATGAATTCTGACATGAATAAATGGAAACAGTAAATAAAATTCACTAGACAGATGCAACAGAAATAGGCATGAGAGTGGGAATTTTAAATATGCTGAATATGAGGATACAGATAAGGTGTGAAACAACACTCGGAACATGCTGAGTAAATTCAAACTGTGCCTTTCTAAATAGTTCGGGTAGGCGTAACTCTCTGTGCCCATAAGGGAACACCTGATCTCTCAGTAGGTTGTAATGCAGGCGATTTGTGGAAGTCAGTTCGGTGGAGACCAGAATTCAAATGAACAAACCAACCACATAGTCTGAGCAGAAACCAGTGTTGCACTGCACAGTCAGCATACTGTCAGACATGCTTGTAATCACTGCTAGGTTGTCGTGTCCTTCTCAAACCCAGACGTCACCTCCTCCAGTCGAGAATAAAAGTTTCTGTCTTCTTTCGTCTTCAATCTCTCGTCCACCTTGTCAGTAGACAATCACGACAATCACAAATAGATGCAATCATCACAAAGACTCTGAGGATGGTACTGGTTTCTGAACAGACTGTTTCAATTCACCATTCGTAAATGAAATCCAATACGTGTACAGAACCGATCTGGATAGGCACAACAAATTATGAAAACGTTGTGCACTGACACAAACTAGTATTGTGAAGAAGTGATATTCGCTGTATGCCTATGTCCTCACAGAGAAAGAATGAACTGTCAATTTCTTCATTATATTCGTAATGAATTTACCTTTTTAATGAATTCTCAATAATATCATTTAATTTGATTTATTCCAATAATTCGATAAATCCAACATATGTAGAATGTCATCCAGGTGAGCGAATTTATAAAATCTGAAATATCGTTCAAATCTATCAATTAGTTTTTGAAATATCCTCCTGAAAAAATAAGATCCAGATATCGCGTAGCCCCTATATATATTCCGAGAACATGGATCCGAATAATTTCTGTTTAACGAAGTTATTGTGGATAACAACAGCTAAACTGCTGGTGAAATTATGAGTAAACAAGTATCACCAGGCAATTACAAATATACACCTGATAACATGAAAATACCCAGGATGAACTTTTGTGCACATTTCTCAACATATACATAGATAATTTTATCATATTGAAAATAAGTCAAAATGTGCTTTCATCCCTATGAATGTAGTATCAAAGTCTGTTCTATCAAAATGTGCTGACTAAATAGATATTACAATATTACGGAGAGTGAAGATACACTGACGAGAAAATGTCTCAAGCCACGTGACATAAACAAATTGATGAATTCTGACATGAATAAATGGAAACAGTAAATAAAATTCACTAGGCAGATGCAACAGAAATAGGCATGAGAGTGGGAATTTTAAATATGCTGAATATGAGGATACAGATAAGGTGTGAAACAACACTCGGAACATGCTGAGTAAATTCAAACTGTGCCTTTCTAAATAGTTCGGGTAGGCGTAACTCTCTGTGCCCATAAGGGAACACCTGATCTCTCAGTAGGTTGTAATGCAGGCGATTTGTGGAAGTCAGTTCGGTGGAGACCAGAATTCAAATGAACCAACCAACCACATAGTCTGAGCAGAAACCAGTGTTGCACTGCACAGTCAGCATACTGTCAGACATGCTTGTAATCACTGCTAGGTTGTCGTGTCCTTCTCAAACCCAGACGTCACCTCCTCCAGTCGAGAATAAAAGTTTCTGTCTTCTTTCGTCTTCAATCTCTCGTCCACCTTGTCAGTAGACAATCACGACAATCACAAATAGATGCAATCATCACGAAGACTCTGAGGATGGTACTGGTTTCTGAACAGACTCTTTCAATTCACCATTCGTAAATGAAATTCAATACGTGTACAGAACCGATCTGGATAGGCACAACAAATTATGAAAACGTTGTGCACTGACACAAACTAGTATTGTGAAGAAGTGATATTCGCTGTATGCCTATGTCCTCACAGAGAAAGAATGAACTGGCAATTTCTTCATTAGCTTCCGAATGATTTTATCTTTTCATCTATTTTCATTAATATAATTTAAAAATAAATTATTTCAAAACTTCGATCAATGGATCATTTATAGAATGTAAAGTTCGTGAGTGAATTTGTATAATCTTAGATTTGTTTAAATTTATCCATGTGTATTTGAGAGGTAATTCAGAAAGACAAAAAGTGCAGTTTTCCCGTATTAACATTCAGTAGCCTGTGAAAATCGATTCGGATAATTACTGTTTAACGAAGTTATTGTGGATAACAACCGCTAAACTGCTGGTGAAATTATGAGTAAACAAGTATCACCAGGCAATTACAAATATACACCTGATAACATGAAAATACCCAGGATGAACTTTTGTGCACATTTCTCAACATATACATAGATAATTTTATCATATTGAAAATAAGTCAAAATGTGCTTTCATCCCTATGAATGTAGTATCAAAGTCTGTTCTATCAAAATGTGCTGACTAAATAGATATTACAATATTACGGAGAGTGAAGATACACTGACGAGAAAATGTCTCAAGCCACGTGACATAAACAAATTGATGAATTCTGACATGAATAAATGGAAACAGTAAATAAAATTCACTAGGCAGATGCAACAGAAATAGGCATGAGAGTGGGAATTTTAAATATGCTGAATATGAGGATACAGATAAGGTGTGAAACAACACTCGGAACATGCTGAGTAAATTCAAACTGTGCCTTTCTAAATAGTTCGGGTAGGCGTAACTCTCTGTGCCCATAAGGGAACACCTGATCTCTCAGTAGGTTGTAATGCAGGCGATTTGTGGAAGTCAGTTCGGTGGAGACCAGAATTCAAATGAACCAACCAACCACATAGTCTGAGCAGAAACCAGTGTTGCACTGCACAGTCAGCATACTGTCAGACATGCTTGTAATCACTGCTAGGTTGTCGTGTCCTTCTCAAAATCAGACGTCACCTCCTCCAGTCGAGAATAAAAGTTTCTGTCTTCTTTCGTCTTCAATCTCTCGTCCACCTTGTCAGTAGACAATCACGACAATCACAAATAGATGCAATCATCACGAAGACTCTGAGGAAGGTACTGGTTTCTGAACAGACTCTTTCAATTCACCATTCGTAAATGAAATTCAATACGTGTACAGAACCGATCTGGATAGGCACAACAAATTATGAAAACGTTGTGCACTGACACAAACTAGTATTGTGAAGAAGTGATATTCGCTGTATGCCTATGTCCTCACAGAGAAAGAATGAACTGGCAATTTCTTCATTAGCTTCCGAATGATTTCATCTTTTCATGAATTTTTTCTAATACAATTCAATTCAATATAATTTTATTAATTTTTCAATTGAAAATATGAATAATTTTAGATGGTGAGTATTATCAAAACAGATTATAAGATTTAATTCTAATGAGTTTTCTTTACACAATATAATCTCTCATGTAGCATGGTTGAGAATTGACATTTCAATGGTGACTAATTATAATTGAACATGCTTTCGAATAATTTCTGTTTAACGAAGTTATTGTGGATAACAACCGCTAAACTGCTGGTGAAATTATGAGTAAACAAGTATCACCAGGCAATTACAAATATACACCTGATAACATGAAAATACCCAGGATGAACTTTTGTGCACATTTCTCAACATATACATAGATAATTTTATCATATTGAAAATAAGTCAAAATGTGCTTTCATCCCTATGAATGTAGTATCAAAGTCTGTTCTATCAAAATGTGCTGACTAAATAGATATTACAATATTACGGAGAGTGAAGATACACTGACGAGAAAATGTCTCAAGCCACGTGACATAAACAAATTGATGAATTCTGACATGAATAAATGGAAACAGTAAATAAAATTCACTAGGCAGATGCAACAGAAATAGGCATGAGAGTGGGAATTTTAAATATGCTGAATATGAGGATACAGATAAGGTGTGAAACAACACTCGGAACATGCTGAGTAAATTCAAACTGTGCCTTTCTAAATAGTTCGGGTAGGCGTAACTCTCTGTGCCCATAAGGGAACACCTGATCTCTCAGTAGGTTGTAATGCAGGCGATTTGTGGAAGTCAGTTCGGTGGAGACCAGAATTCAAATGAACCAACCAACCACATAGTCTGAGCAGAAACCAGTGTTGCACTGCACAGTCAGCATACTGTCAGACATGCTTGTAATCACTGCTAGGTTGTCGTGTCCTTCTCAAACCCAGACGTCACCTCCTCCAGTCGAGAATAAAAGTTTCTGTCTTCTTTCGTCTTCAATCTCTAGTCCACCTTGTCAGTAGACAATCACGACAATCACAAATAGATGCAATCATCACGAAGACTCTGAGGATGGTACTGGTTTCTGAACAGACTCTTTCAATTCACCATTCGTAAATGAAATTCAATACGTGTACAGAACCGATCTGGATAGGCACAACAAATTATGAAAACGTTGTGCACTGACACAAACTAGTATTGTGAAGAAGTGATATTCGCTGTATGCCTATGTCCTCACAGAGAAAGAATGAACTGGCAATTTCTTCATTAGCTTCCGAATGATTTTATCTTTTCATGAATTTTTTCTAATACAATTCAATTCAATATAATTTTATTAATTTTTCAATTGAAAATATGAATAATTTTAGATGGTGAGTATTATCAAAACAGATTATAAGATTTAATTCTAATGAGTTTTCTTTACACAATATAATCTCTCATGTAGCATGGTTGAGAATTGACATTTCAATGGTGACTAATTATAATTGAACATGCTTTCGAATAATTTCTGTTTAACGAAGTTATTGTGGATAACAACCGCTAAACTGCTGGTGAAATTATGAGTAAACAAGTATCACCAGGCAATTACAAATATACACCTGATAACATGAAAATACCCAGGATGAACTTTTGTGCACATTTCTCAACATATACATAGATAATTTTATCATATTGAAAATAAGTCAAAATGTGCTTTCATCCCTATGAATGTAGTATCAAAGTCTGTTCTATCAAAATGTGCTGACTAAATAGATATTACAATATTACGGAGAGTGAAGATACACTGACGAGAAAATGTCTCAAGCCACGTGACATAAACAAATTGATGAATTCTGACATGAATAAATGGAAACAGTAAATAAAATTCACTAGGCAGATGCAACAGAAATAGGCATGAGAGTGGGAATTTTAAATATGCTGAATATGAGGATACAGATAAGGTGTGAAACAACACTCGGAACATGCTGAGTAAATTCAAACTGTGCCTTTCTAAATAGTTCGGGTAGGCGTAACTCTCTGTGCCCATAAGGGAACACCTGATCTCTCAGTAGGTTGTAATGCAGGCGATTTGTGGAAGTCAGTTCGGTGGAGACCAGAATTCAAATGAACCAACCAACCACATAGTCTGAGCAGAAACCAGTGTTGCACTGCACAGTCAGCATACTGTCAGACATGCTTGTAATCACTGCTAGGTTGTCGTGTCCTTCTCAAACCCAGACGTCACCTCCTCCAGTCGAGAATAAAAGTTTCTGTCTTCTTTCGTCTTCAATCTCTCGTCCACCTTGTCAGTAGACAATCACGACAATCACAAATAGATGCAATCATCACGAAGACTCTGAGGATGGTACTGGTTTCTGAACAGACTCTTTCAATTCACCATTCGTAAATGAAATTCAATACGTGTACAGAACCGATCTGGATAGGCACAACAAATTATGAAAACGTTGTGCACTGACACAAACTAGTATTGTGAAGAAGTGATATTCGCTGTATGCCTATGTCCTCACAGAGAAAGAATGAACTGGCAATTTCTTCATTAGCTTCCGAATGATTTCATCTTTTCATGAATTTTTTCTAATACAATTCAATTCAATATAATTTTATTAATTTTTCAATTGAAAATATGAATAATTTTAGATGGTGAGTATTATCAAAACAGATTATAAGATTTAATTCTAATGAGTTTTCTTTACACAATATAATCTCTCATGTAGCATGGTTGAGAATTGACATTTCAATGGTGACTAATTATAATTGAACATGCTTTCGAATAATTTCTGTTTAACGAAGTTATTGTGGATAACAACCGCTAAACTGCTGGTGAAATTATGAGTAAACAAGTATCACCAGGCAATTACAAATATACACCTGATAACATGAAAATACCCAGGATGAACTTTTGTGCACATTTCTCAACATATACATAGATAATTTTATCATATTGAAAATAAGTCAAAATGTGCTTTCATCCCTATGAATGTAGTATCAAAGTCTGTTCTATCAAAATGTGCTGACTAAATAGATATTACAATATTACGGAGAGTGAAGATACACTGACGAGAAAATGTCTCAAGCCACGTGACATAAACAAATTGATGAATTCTGACATGAATAAATGGAAACAGTAAATAAAATTCACTAGGCAGATGCAACAGAAATAGGCATGAGAGTGGGAATTTTAAATATGCTGAATATGAGGATACAGATAAGGTGTGAAACAACACTCGGAACATGCTGAGTAAATTCAAACTGTGCCTTTCTAAATAGTTCGGGTAGGCGTAACTCTCTGTGCCCATAAGGGAACACCTGATCTCTCAGTAGGTTGTAATGCAGGCGATTTGTGGAAGTCAGTTCGGTGGAGACCAGAATTCAAATGAACCAACCAACCACATAGTCTGAGCAGAAACCAGTGTTGCACTGCACAGTCAGCATACTGTCAGACATGCTTGTAATCACTGCTAGGTTGTCGTGTCCTTCTCAAAATCAGACGTCACCTCCTCCAGTCGAGAATAAAAGTTTCTGTCTTCTTTCGTCTTCAATCTCTCGTCCACCTTGTCAGTAGACAATCACGACAATCACAAATAGATGCAATCATCACGAAGACTCTGAGGATGGTACTGGTTTCTGAACAGACTGTTTCAATTCACCATTCGTAAATGAAATTCAATACGTGTACAGAACCGATCTGGATAGGCACAACAAATTATGAAAACGTTGTGCACTGACACAAACTAGTATTGTGAAGAAGTGATATTCGCTGTATGCCTATGTCCTCACAGAGAAAGAATGAACTGGCAATTTCTTCATTAGCTTCCGAATGATTTATTCTTTGTTTGAAATTTCGATTTTTTGATTCAAATACATACAATGTTATCTTGTGTTCATATAGAATTCATCGGTTGCGAGAGATGTAAGCGACTAAGTTCGATATAATTTTTTTATCTATACACCGCATTTCAATCAAACAAAATTACTCGTAATCGACACATAATGATTAGTTAACAATAAAGCGCCAGCCACCTGGTGTGTCAACATGGATCCGAATAATTTCTGTTCAACGAAGTTATTGTGGATAACAACCGCTAAACTGCTGGTGAAATTATGAGTAAACAAGTATCACCAGGCAATTACAAATATACACCTGATAACATGAAAATACCCAGGATGAACTTTTGTGCACATTTCTCAACATATACATAGATAATTTTATCATATTGAAAATAAGTCAAAATGTGCTTTCATCCCTATGAATGTAGTATCAAAGTCTGTTCTATCAAAATGTGCTGACTAAATAGATATTACAATATTACGGAGAGTGAAGATACACTGACGAGAAAATGTCTCAAGCCACGTGACATAAACAAATTGATGAATTCTGACATGAATAAATGGAAACAGTAAATAAAATTCACTAGGCAGATGCAACAGAAATAGGCATGAGAGTGGGAATTTTAAATATGCTGAATATGAGGATACAGATAAGGTGTGAAACAACACTCGGAACATGCTGAGTAAATTCAAACTGTGCCTTTCTAAATAGTTCGGGTAGGCGTAACTCTCTGTGCCCATAAGGGAACACCTGATCTCTCAGTAGGTTGTAATGCAGGCGATTTGTGGAAGTCAGTTCGGTGGAGACCAGAATTCAAATGAACCAACCAACCACATAGTCTGAGCAGAAACCAGTGTTGCACTGCACAGTCAGCATACTGTCAGACATGCTTGTAATCACTGCTAGGTTGTCGTGTCCTTCTCAAACCCAGACGTCACCTCCTCCAGTCGAGAATAAAAGTTTCTGTCTTCTTTCGTCTTCAATCTCTCGTCCACCTTGTCAGTAGACAATCACGACAATCACAAATAGATGCAATCATCACAAAGACTCTGAGGATGGTACTGGTTTCTGAACAGACTCTTTCAATTCACCATTCGTAAATGAAATCCAATACGTGTACAGAACCGATCTGGATAGGCACAACAAATTATGAAAACGTTGTGCACTGACACAAACTAGTATTGTGAAGAAGTGATATTCGCTGTATGCCTATGTCCTCACAGAGAAAGAATGAACTGGCAATTTCTTCGTTAGCTTCCAATCGATCTTATCCTCAGATGATTTCTACTTATTAATTTCGCTTTTTTTTTACATATTCTTATATACATAAATTTATAAGGTTGTAATGTCTGTAAGCGGATATCATTTAAAATTATTTTATCCCACATATTTAATTTCAACATAAGAAATAATAATCCGAAGCCGCAAATCTAAGACTCACACTTAAGAGCATGCAATGTGGTGTGTGAATATGGATCCGAATAATTTCTTTTTAACGAAGTTATTGTGGATAACAACCGCTAAACTGCTGGTGAAATTATGAGTAAACAAGTATCACCAGGCAATTACAAATATACACCTGATAACATGAAAATACCCAGGATGAACTTTTGTGCACATTTCTCAACATATACATAGATAATTTTATCATATTGAAAATAAGTCAAAATGTGCTTTCATCCCTATGAATGTAGTATCAAAGTCTGTTCTATCAAAATGTGCTGACTAAATAGATATTACAATATTACGGAGAGTGAAGATACACTGACGAGAAAATGTCTCAAGCCACGTGACATAAACAAATTGATGAATTCTGACATGAATAAATGGAAACAGTAAATAAAATTCACTAGGCAGATGCAACAGAAATAGGCATGAGAGTGGGAATTTTAAATATGCTGAATATGAGGATACAGATAAGGTGTGAAACAACACTCGGAACATGCTGAGTAAATTCAAACTGTGCCTTTCTAAATAGTTCGGGTAGGCGTAACTCTCTGTGCCCATAAGGGAACACCTGATCTCTCAGTAGGTTGTAATGCAGGCGATTTGTGGAAGTCAGTTCGGTGGAGACCAGAATTCAAATGAACCAACCAACCACATAGTCTGAGCAGAAACCAGTGTTGCACTGCACAGTCAGCATACTGTCAGACATGCTTGTAATCACTGCTAGGTTGTCGTGTCCTTCTCAAACCCAGACGTCACCTCCTCCAGTCGAGAATAAAAGTTTCTGTCTTCTTTCGTCTTCAATCTCTCGTCCACCTTGTCAGTAGACAATCACGACAATCACAAATAGATGCAATCATCACAAAGACTCTGAGGATGGTACTGGTTTCTGAACAGACTGTTTCAATTCACCATTCGTAAATGAAATCCAATACGTGTACAGAACCGATCTGGATAGGCACAACAAATTATGAAAACGTTGTGCACTGACACAAACTAGTATTGTGAAGAAGTGATATTCGCTGTATGCCTATGTCCTCACAGAGAAAGAATGAACTGGCAATTTCTTCGTTAGCTTCCGAATGATTTTATCATTTTATGAATTTCGATTATTGTTTCTATATTATACTGTTTTAATTATTCTATCGAAATAAACTACATAGCATGTTCATATTGTGAGTAAATTTTCATAAAATTTTATTTCGCTATAATGCATGAAATTTTTGCAACACAATCCTGAATGCACAATCATTTACATAGGTCGCGTAGAGAATGACATATAGTCTGTAAACATGGATCCGAATAATTTCTGTTCAACGAAGTTATTGTGGATAACAACCGCTAAACTGCTGGTGAAATTATGAGTAAACAAGTATCACCAGGCAATTACAAATATACACCTGATAACATGAAAATACCCAGGATGAACTTTTGTGCACATTTCTCAACATATACATAGATAATTTTATCATATTGAAAATAAGTCAAAATGTGCTTTCATCCCTATGAATGTAGTATCAAAGTCTGTTCTATCAAAATGTGCTGACTAAATAGATATTACAATATTACGGAGAGTGAAGATACACTGACGAGAAAATGTCTCAAGCCACGTGACATAAACAAATTGATGAATTCTGACATGAATAAATGGAAACAGTAAATAAAATTCACTAGGCAGATGCAACAGAAATAGGCATGAGAGTGGGAATTTTAAATATGCTGAATATGAGGATACAGATAAGGTGTGAAACAACACTCGGAACATGCTGAGTAAATTCAAACTGTGCCTTTCTAAATAGTTCGGGTAGGCGTAACTCTCTGTGCCCATAAGGGAACACCTGATCTCTCAGTAGGTTGTAATGCAGGCGATTTGTGGAAGTCAGTTCGGTGGAGACCAGAATTCAAATGAACCAACCAACCACATAGTCTGAGCAGAAACCAGTGTTGCACTGCACAGTCAGCATACTGTCAGACATGCTTGTAATCACTGCTAGGTTGTCGTGTCCTTCTCAAACCCAGACGTCACCTCCTCCAGTCGAGAATAAAAGTTTCTGTCTTCTTTCGTCTTCAATCTCTCGTCCACCTTGTCAGTAGACAATCACGACAATCACAAATAGATGCAATCATCACGAAGACTCTGAGGATGGTACTGGTTTCTGAACAGACTGTTTCAATTCACCATTCGTAAATGAAATTCAATACGTGTACAGAACCGATCTGGATAGGCACAACAAATTATGAAAACGTTGTGCACTGACACAAACTAGTATTGTGAAGAAGTGATATTCGCTGTATGCCTATGTCCTCACAGAGAAAGAATGAACTGGCAATTTCTTCGTTAGCTTCCAAATGATTATAACTTTTTATTTAATTATACCATTTATGATCAAAATTGCTGAAATATTTGCTTTTCTGCAAACAGCTTACTCTGATTGCCTTGGTCGTAAGCGCCTAGATTTGTAATAATTTAATTTCAATAAACTGCATTTCAAATTACCAAAATTTTCCGAGAAGGGGCATCATTGAGAGCTGACGCCTAAAAGCCTATCACATGGTGTGTGAACATGGATCCGAATAATTTCTGTTCAACGAAGTTATTGTGGATAACAACCGCTAAACTGCTGGTGAAATTATGAGTAAACAAGTATCACCAGGCAATTACAAATATACACCTGATAACATGAAAATACCCAGGATGAACTTTTGTGCACATTTCTCAACATATACATAGATAATTTTATCATATTGAAAATAAGTCAAAATGTGCTTTCATCCCTATGAATGTAGTATCAAAGTCTGTTCTATCAAAATGTGCTGACTAAATAGATATTACAATATTACGGAGAGTGAAGATACACTGACGAGAAAATGTCTCAAGCCACGTGACATAAACAAATTGATGAATTCTGACATGAATAAATGGAAACAGTAAATAAAATTCACTAGGCAGATGCAACAGAAATAGGCATGAGAGTGGGAATTTTAAATATGCTGAATATGAGGATACAGATAAGGTGTGAAACAACACTCGGAACATGCTGAGTAAATTCAAACTGTGCCTTTCTAAATAGTTCGGGTAGGCGTAACTCTCTGTGCCCATAAGGGAACACCTGATCTCTCAGTAGGTTGTAATGCAGGCGATTTGTGGAAGTCAGTTCGGTGGAGACCAGAATTCAAATGAACCAACCAACCACATAGTCTGAGCAGAAACCAGTGTTGCACTGCACAGTCAGCATACTGTCAGACATGCTTGTAATCACTGCTAGGTTGTCGTGTCCTTCTCAAACCCAGACGTCACCTCCTCCAGTCGAGAATAAAAGTTTCTGTCTTCTTTCGTCTTCAATCTCTCGTCCACCTTGTCAGTAGACAATCACGACAATCACAAATAGATGCAATCATCACGAAGACTCTGAGGATGGTACTGGTTTCTGAACAGACTGTTTCAATTCACCATTCGTAAATGAAATTCAATACGTGTACAGAACCGATCTGGATAGGCACAACAAATTATGAAAACGTTGTGCACTGACACAAACTAGTATTGTGAAGAAGTGATATTCGCTGTATGCCTATGTCCTCACAGAGAAAGAATGAACTGGCAATTTCTTCATTAGCTTCCAAATCATTTCATTTATATTTGAAAATTTAATTTTTTGATTTAATTGCATGAAAATTTATTCTTTCCTAAAAATACATCATGTAGCATTTCATAATGGTAAGCGAATTCATTTGAAGTAAATTTCCTTCATTTTTAATGCATTTCGATTCATAATATTATTGCGAGAACTAGCACCATTGAGAGCTGACACATACTCGCCCAACTCATGGTGTGTGAACATGGATCCGAATAATTTCTTTTTAACGAAGTTATTGTGGATAACAACCGCTAAACTGCTGGTGAAATTATGAGTAAACAAGTATCACCAGGCAATTACAAATATACACCTGATAACATGAAAATACCCAGGATGAACTTTTGTGCACATTTCTCAACATATACATAGATAATTTTATCATATTGAAAATAAGTCAAAATGTGCTTTCATCCCTATGAATGTAGTATCAAAGTCTGTTCTATCAAAATGTGCTGACTAAATAGATATTACAATATTACGGAGAGTGAAGATACACTGACGAGAAAATGTCTCAAGCCACGTGACATAAACAAATTGATGAATTCTGACATGAATAAATGGAAACAGTAAATAAAATTCACTAGGCAGATGCAACAGAAATAGGCATGAGAGTGGGAATTTTAAATATGCTGAATATGAGGATACAGATAAGGTGTGAAACAACACTCGGAACATGCTGAGTAAATTCAAACTGTGCCTTTCTAAATAGTTCGGGTAGGCGTAACTCTCTGTGCCCATAAGGGAACACCTGATCTCTCAGTAGGTTGTAATGCAGGCGATTTGTGGAAGTCAGTTCGGTGGAGACCAGAATTCAAATGAACCAACCAACCACATAGTCTGAGCAGAAACCAGTGTTGCACTGCACAGTCAGCATACTGTCAGACATGCTTGTAATCACTGCTAGGTTGTCGTGTCCTTCTCAAACCCAGACGTCACCTCCTCCAGTCGAGAATAAAAGTTTCTGTCTTCTTTCGTCTTCAATCTCTCGTCCACCTTGTCAGTAGACAATCACGACAATCACAAATAGATGCAATCATCACGAAGACTCTGAGGATGGTACTGGTTTCTGAACAGACTCTTTCAATTCACCATTCGTAAATGAAATTCAATACGTGTACAGAACCGATCTGGATAGGCACAACAAATTATGAAAACGTTGTGCACTGACACAAACTAGTATTGTGAAGAAGTGATATTCGCTGTATGCCTATGTCCTCACAGAGAAAGAATGAACTGGCAATTTCTTCGTTAGTTTCCGAATGATTTTATCTATTATTGAGCTTTCAATTTTATGATTGAATTGCAAATTATTATTTCATATTTCATATCAACCACGAAGATGACGATGATTGTAAGCGAAGATATTTGAAATAACTCACTTTGCTATACGCTCCATTTCATTTTATCAAAATTTTGCGAGAAGTAGCACCATTGAGAGCTGACACTAAAAAGCCTATCAAATGGTGTGTGAACATGGATCCGAATAATTTCTGTTCAACGAAGTTATTGTGGATAACAACCGCTAAACTGCTGGTGAAATTATGAGTAAACAAGTATCACCAGGCAATTACAAATATACACCTGATAACATGAAAATACCCAGGATGAACTTTTGTGCACATTTCTCAACATATACATAGATAATTTTATCATATTGAAAATAAGTCAAAATGTGCTTTCATCCCTATGAATGTAGTATCAAAGTCTGTTCTATCAAAATGTGCTGACTAAATAGATATTACAATATTACGGAGAGTGAAGATACACTGACGAGAAAATGTCTCAAGCCACGTGACATAAACAAATTGATGAATTCTGACATGAATAAATGGAAACAGTAAATAAAATTCACTAGGCAGATGCAACAGAAATAGGCATGAGAGTGGGAATTTTAAATATGCTGAATATGAGGATACAGATAAGGTGTGAAACAACACTCGGAACATGCTGAGTAAATTCAAACTGTGCCTTTCTAAATAGTTCGGGTAGGCGTAACTCTCTGTGCCCATAAGGGAACACCTGATCTCTCAGTAGGTTGTAATGCAGGCGATTTGTGGAAGTCAGTTCGGTGGAGACCAGAATTCAAATGAACCAACCAACCACATAGTCTGAGCAGAAACCAGTGTTGCACTGCACAGTCAGCATACTGTCAGACATGCTTGTAATCACTGCTAGGTTGTCGTGTCCTTCTCAAACCCAGACGTCACCTCCTCCAGTCGAGAATAAAAGTTTCTGTCTTCTTTCGTCTTCAATCTCTCGTCCACCTTGTCAGTAGACAATCACGACAATCACAAATAGATGCAATCATCACAAAGACTCTGAGGATGGTACTGGTTTCTGAACAGACTCTTTCAATTCACCATTCGTAAATGAAATTCAATACGTGTACAGAACCGATCTGGATAGGCACAACAAATTATGAAAACGTTGTGCACTGACACAAACTAGTACTGTGATGAAATGACATTCGCTGTATGCCTATGTCGTCACAGAGAAAGAATGAACTGGCAATTTCTTCATTAGCTTCCGAATGATTTTATCTATAATTGAACTATAAATTTTTTGATTCAATTGAAAGTTTGTATTCTATATTTTATAAAAACCGCTAGATTACTCTTATAGTAAGCACAGATATTTGAAATCACTTAATTTACTATCATCTGCATTTCAATTTAACAAAATTTTGCGAGAAGCTACACCATTGAAATCTGACACTAAAAAGCCTGTCACATAATGTGTGAACATGGATCCGAATAATTTCTGTTCAACGAAGTTATTGTGGATAACAACCGCTAAACTGCTGGTGAAATTATGAGTAAACAAGTATCACCAGGCAATTACAAATATACACCTGATAACATGAAAATACCCAGGATGAACTTTTGTGCACATTTCTCAACATATACATAGATAATTTTATCATATTGAAAATAAGTCAAAATGTGCTTTCATCCCTATGAATGTAGTATCAAAGTCTGTTCTATCAAAATGTGCTGACTAAATAGATATTACAATATTACGGAGAGTGAAGATACACTGACGAGAAAATGTCTCAAGCCACGTGACATAAACAAATTGATGAATTCTGACATGAATAAATGGAAACAGTAAATAAAATTCACTAGGCAGATGCAACAGAAATAGGCATGAGAGTGGGAATTTTAAATATGCTGAATATGAGGATACAGATAAGGTGTGAAACAACACTCGGAACATGCTGAGTAAATTCAAACTGTGCCTTTCTAAATAGTTCGGGTAGGCGTAACTCTCTGTGCCCATAAGGGAACACCTGATCTCTCAGTAGGTTGTAATGCAGGCGATTTGTGGAAGTCAGTTCGGTGGAGACCAGAATTCAAATGAACCAACCAACCACATAGTCTGAGCAGAAACCAGTGTTGCACTGCACAGTCAGCATACTGTCAGACATGCTTGTAATCACTGCTAGGTTGTCGTGTCCTTCTCAAACCCAGACGTCACCTCCTCCAGTCGAGAATAAAAGTTTCTGTCTTCTTTCGTCTTCAATCTCTCGTCCACCTTGTCAGTAGACAATCACGACAATCACAAATAGATGCAATCATCACAAAGACTCTGAGGATGGTACTGGTTTCTGAACAGACTGTTTCAATTCACCATTCGTAAATGAAATTCAATACGTGTACAGAACCGATCTGGATAGGCACAACAAATTATGAAAACGTTGTGCACTGACACAAACTAGTATTGTGAAGAAGTGATATTCGCTGTATGCCTATGTCCTCACAGAGAAAGAATGAACTGGCAATTTCTTCATTAGTTTCCGAATGATTTTATCTACTATTGAGCTTTCAATTTTATGATTGAATTGCAAAATTTTACTCTTCATTTCATATAATCCACGTAGATGTCGAGAATTGTAAGCGCAGATATTTTAAATAACTCACTTTGCTATACGCCCCATTTCATTTTATCAAAATTTTGCGAGAAGTAGCACCATTGAGAGCTGACACTAAAAAGCCTATCACATGGTGTGTGAACATGGATCCGAATAATTTCTGTTCAACGAAGTTTTTGTGGATAACAACCGCTAAACTGCTGGTGAAATTATGAGTAAACAAGTATCACCAGGCAATTACAAATATACACCTGATAACATGAAAATACCCAGGATGAACTTTTGTGCACATTTCTCAACATATACATAGATAATTTTATCATATTGAAAATAAGTCAAAATGTGCTTTCATCCCTATGAATGTAGTATCAAAGTCTGTTCTATCAAAATGTGCTGACTAAATAGATATTACAATATTACGGAGAGTGAAGATACACTGACGAGAAAATGTCTCAAGCCACGTGACATAAACAAGTTGATGAATTCTGACATGAATAAATGGAAACAGTAAATAAAATTCACTAGGCAGATGCAACAGAAATAGGCATGAGAGTGGGAATTTTAAATATGCTGAATATGAGGATACAGATAAGGTGTGAAACAACACTCGGAACATGCTGAGTAAATTCAAACTGTGCCTTTCTAAATAGTTCGGGTAGGCGTAACTCTCTGTGCCCATAAGGGAACACCTGATCTCTCAGTAGGTTGTAATGCAGGCGATTTGTGGAAGTCAGTTCGGTGGAGACCAGAATTCAAATGAACCAACCAACCACATAGTCTGAGCAGAAACCAGTGTTGCACTGCACAGTCAGCATACTGTCAGACATGCTTGTAATCACTGCTAGGTTGTCGTGTCCTTCTCAAACCCAGACGTCACCTCCTCCAGTCGAGAATAAAAGTTTCTGTCTTCTTTCGTCTTCAATCTCTCGTCCACCTTGTCAGTAGACAATCACGACAATCACAAATAGATGCAATCATCACGAAGACTCTGAGGATGGTACTGGTTTCTGAACAGACTGTTTCAATTCACCATTCGTAAATGAAATTCAATACGTGTACAGAACCGATCTGGATAGGCACAACAAATTATGAAAACGTTGTGCACTGACACAAACTAGTATTGTGAAGAAGTGATATTCGCTGTATGCCTATGTCCTCACAGAGAAAGAATGAACTGGCAATTTCTTCATTAGTTTCCGAATGATTTTATCTACTATTGAGCTTTCAATTTTATGATTGAATTGCAAAATTTTACTCTTCATTTCATATAATCCACGTAGATGTCGAGAATTGTAAGCGCAGATATTTTAAATAACTCACTTTGCTATACGCTCCATTTCATTTTATCAAAATTTTGCGAGAAGTAGCACCATTGAGAGCTGACACTAAAAAGCCTATCAAATGGTGTGTGAACATGGATCCGAATAATTTCTGTTCAACGAAGTTATTGTGGATAACAACCGCTAAACTGCTGGTGAAATTATGAGTAAACAAGTATCACCAGGCAATTACAAATATACACCTGATAACATGAAAATACCCAGGATGAACTTTTGTGCACATTTCTCAACATATACATAGATAATTTTATCATATTGAAAATAAGTCAAAATGTGCTTTCATCCCTATGAATGTAGTATCAAAGTCTGTTCTATCAAAATGTGCTGACTAAATAGATATTACAATATTACGGAGAGTGAAGATACACTGACGAGAAAATGTCTCAAGCCACGTGACATAAACAAATTGATGAATTCTGACATGAATAAATGGAAACAGTAAATAAAATTCACTAGGCAGATGCAACAGAAATAGGCATGAGAGTGGGAATTTTAAATATGCTGAATATGAGGATACAGATAAGGTGTGAAACAACACTCGGAACATGCTGAGTAAATTCAAACTGTGCCTTTCTAAATAGTTCGGGTAGGCGTAACTCTCTGTGCCCATAAGGGAACACCTGATCTCTCAGTAGGTTGTAATGCAGGCGATTTGTGGAAGTCAGTTCGGTGGAGACCAGAATTCAAATGAACCAACCAACCACATAGTCTGAGCAGAAACCAGTGTTGCACTGCACAGTCAGCATACTGTCAGACATGCTTGTAATCACTGCTAGGTTGTCGTGTCCTTCTCAAACCCAGACGTCACCTCCTCCAGTCGAGAATAAAAGTTTCTGTCTTCTTTCGTCTTCAATCTCTCGTCCACCTTGTCAGTAGACAATCACGACAATCACAAATAGATGCAATCATCACGAAGACTCTGAGGATGGTACTGGTTTCTGAACAGACTGTTTCAATTCACCATTCGTAAATGAAATTCAATACGTGTACAGAACCGATCTGGATAGGCACAACAAATTATGAAAACGTTGTGCACTGACACAAACTAGTATTGTGAAGAAGTGATATTCGCTGTATGCCTATGTCCTCACAGAGAAAGAATGAACTGGCAATTTTTTATTGAGTTTTACTCTTGATTCATTCTTTTTAGTCATCTCTATTTTAATTTATTCTGCAAATGATTTTGTAATGTCTTTATTCTTTGTGCCTGCTTTGATTTCCGTTTAATTTTTCCATAGTTATCTATTGTGTGTTCATTTTCGCGGTCTTCGCTTTTATTTTCTTACGATTTGGAATTGTCGTAGTTTTCCAATTTTAGGTTATGTATTTTTTCTCTTTTGCATATTATATAGTCTTTTTTTCATTTTTATGTGTTCTCCTCTCGTTGGCCTTTTTCTATGTTGTTTTGAATGTTTGTGTTTTCCAATTTCAAACTGACAATAATTTTCTTTTTTCCGCCTAATATATACCTTCCCACAACGTACGCTCTATCTTACTCAACGTGTTTCTCACTATTCTATTAGATTTGTATCGTTTTCACTGTGCTTTCGTGTGTAATTCTCTTTCTAGCTTGTTTATCTTCGTCGATATATATCATATATATGTGGTCTAATCAACATACATCTCTTTTTTCATTTGTAGAAGGCGCTTAGCAGTTGCTTCTTAATATCTTCGAGTTGACTTCTGATTCACTCAGTCGCTTGCATGATGATGTTCAACGAGAAGTGTACTCTTTTTTGTTCAATTACACAACAAATTAATACAAGCGTTTCCAATTTCACTTAACTCAAGTAGTTGTAGTTTCTATTATCTCAAATGTTTGGTGTATTTTTTCAAAGTTAACCAATAAATAACAATATTTCACAATCCATCTTTATTATTTCATCTTCCTGAATTTGTCTATTTATGACTGATGGGGATTTGCTGAAAGATAGCTCCACCGGATTGATATTCTCAGTGAATAGTTTCCAAAGTTTACTAGTAGTCTCTGCGTTATGTGATTGTATATGTAAAAAACTTTTGGATAGGCGACAAAGGGCGCATTCTCATTGGGATTCCTTGTGTTAACTTGATGATTGTGATGCAAACTCTCGATCAGACGAAGTAAGTTTGAGACCAAACAGTAGAATTCCGCCTGCACTTAACAAATAATTTCAGTCAGTATTTGTTGATGGCGCTTACGGTTTCCATCTATCGCTTTTTGTACGCAGATATTAGGCCTCATATTGTCGACCTCTTTTGATAATTCATTTGAACAAGAAGGCAATCTTGTGTTCGAATTTGCACGAATCTTACTTACTTGCTTCGGTCAACGTTAACGGGAAATTATAAATCAGAAAGAGATTAGCTTGTTACTTGAATTTATCTGCTAAGCATCAAAATTCATAAGCAAACACAAGAAAGACACTAAAGATTTTCAATCGGAGTGTCGAAAATCTCCACGATCACATCACTAATTACACCAGAATGGTTCCCATCTTGTTGTATGCAGAAAACTGTTTGAAGTGCGGTTGAGTAAAAATTTGCTATGTAGGAAAAAAATTAATTGGCATCCTTTATTCGCGGACTCATCCATCATCCTTTTTAAAAGGTACGATGCAGTGTAACGAACAAGCTTTAATGACACAGAAAATCAACTATGCTCAGTTACTTGAATTTCTCTGAACTACTATTCACACGAGAAGTTCTTCACTGCACGGCACCTTCTACTGTCGTCAGGAAATTGGTTTAGAGGGATGAAACGAGATTTTTGCCACAAACTTTGTTTGTTATCCATACTGTCTTATTACTGTCACATCTTTCAACTGTTCATTATTGATAATGATAGTATTATGACCAAATGCACAATTCACGCTGTCTCTCACCAAGTCTGTTCCTATTCAATTACAACTGGTTTTCAAAACACGTACCATGCCGTAGCTCACACATTGATTATATCTAAGCGTATTCATTGCAATCACTGAGAATTATATTGTCAACCCAAAATTGTCCCAAATCACGCTTCAACATAAATTTAATTCCTTTGACTCGTCATTCAATTCATTGGTAGGACGAAGTGCACAACTTCCATGTAACGGAGTTGAGAAGACAAACCATGGACATGCAGAGTATAATTACTTTTTTTACCCCCACCCATCCTTCCATCTGGCTCCACGTATTTGTACACACATATTTATCTTTTGAATTTTATGGTACTTTAATAAGTGCAATCAATAATAATCTTCTCCAAAACGTCTTTTTTATAAGTAGTTGTCTAGTGGACTAGTCGTTTATGAATTTATGAAAACAAAGTAATAATTAAATGAATTGTTCAGTGCTGCTGGGCTTTTTTGCACTCTAACTAGTGTCAGTTCATGATATTCTCTGCATTGATTGCCAATAAAGCGAATCAAAAACTGTACGGGGAACATTTATTTCTCGATATCAATTTAAAAATAAGATAAAATGCACTGCGGTTCAGTTGCATCACTTAGATAAACAAGTTATCATCAGAGAAAGAACTTCAATATATCATGATTTGCGAAGTGAGTAGTATTCATTATAATGGGAATAATAATATTATTAGTTGTGAAACGAGTTACAATAATGCTACCGATAAAATATAGTTTCAAAATGAATCAGGAATAATAATAAAAGTTATGACAAAGTGTCAATAATATTATTATCAATAATAATATTAGTTAATAAGCGAAGCATATTTACATTGTAGATTCAGAGTGACGATCATTTCCTACTGTACATAGGGACTTGGTTTAAAAACCCTAATTTCACAAGCCCGTGCAATTGCAGGCATATTCATGTTTCGTCCTCTGCTGACAACGATGAATGACTCGACAGCGTCGTAGTCCTCAAGGTGCTTTTTTACTGAACATTTTGCCACTTTGACTTCATCTGTCCTCACGTACTTTGGCAAATACTCCATCATGCTAGCAAACAATCGCCTTTCAGTACGACCGATGTATTTGCTTCAAGAAGCACCCTCAAATTGACATACGCAGTTCGAAATGTTGCAGATTGGTGATTGGTCTTTCCCAGATTGTTGAAGCACTCACACTTGATGGTGTTAAGGAAGGCGGGTTTTCGAGCAGAATAAGTTCTCTTGATAGATTTGTCGAGTCTTCGTTTAATTACCTCTTACACATCATCTCGTTTGAATGGCGAATGGATATAGACAGATTTCTTCGGAACTGTTTGGATGGTTTCACAAGGGCTAATTTCATTAGAGTATTTATTGGTGAACTTCTCAGGATATCCATTCTTAGATAAATTATCCTAAAGAGCCTTTATTTCTTGCTCTGTTGAACAGTGCTGTGACTGAAATCTTTTTATACTGAATTGTAACAAAACTTGTGTAATGTGTGTACTGTCCTGTCCATGAAGACTTTCTACATATGGATTTTTCGATTGTTCCATCAGTCGTTTTCACTAGAGAAACATTAAGGAATTTAATAGTCTCATTTTCCTCGTGTTCTCTTTTGAAGTTGAGATTTGGATGGCATGAGTTGAATTCAAACAACGGGTCTTCAGCTTTCGATCTCCTTCCACAGACAACAAAAATATCATCAGCATATCTTAGGCATACTTCCATTTGTTGTATATGTTGTTACTAAGTACCGGCTTCTAGAAGTGATAAGAATAAATCTGCGAAAAGTGGTATCAGGAGGCTACCCATGGCAACATCACTAACTTGATGGAATAGGTACGCATCGAATTATCTTCCGCCAACTTATATTTCAAATTCATTCAACCCTCTGTCCCCAATGAGCAGTTGTATTTCAACAAAGATTTTTCAGCTAAACCTGGTATGAAAATGAAGCTTGATTGATCGTTGCAGGCAGAGGAAATTTCCATGTCAGTTAGAGACTTACAAAAACAGAATATTTCCTAATCACGACGTTGTGAGAATTTGTGACATCAGTGCACATTTTTATTTGTTTGTTAGGGGCAATTTACTCCGTATCCTACAAGCGATGTCAAACCAATCTACAACTTAGCTACCTAAATCTCTATTCAGCACCATTGTACACAATGTCGACAGTTTAGTGTAAGTTAGGCATGGCAAGATTTTCGTGTATTTCCGACTGAAATGCAAGACATCCAAGGCACTTCTGTAGTGAAAAAATGGTGACAACTGAAATAAAATGAATAAAATAAAAACGTCAGACACCACGATCGTGGATATTTCATACACTGTGCATTGATACTTCCTAAACACCTTATTGAAATGGCACACTGACTCTGGCAAAACCAAAGTGTCACATCTTATCACAAGTCAAGAAAATAAACTTCAATTAAAGTAAATCTGAAACAATATGAGCTTATGTGATAAATGAACAATGGCATTTCTCGAGATTTCACCAATCTGCGCATGATGGTGGCACCTGCGAACGAAGTTATCGAAAAGTATTCTGCTTGTTCAAAAATCAGTGTTTCAAATTGTGAGAGGAGCTTTTGGGTAATCGAGGAATATCGTCTTGATGAAATGACGTTCCTGCATTATATTGATTATAACACCTTGAAAAAATGAACTACTGTACATTGTGAGAAATATCTGAACTAGTTCTACCGCTGAACTAGTCACAGAGAAAGTTCAAATCTGCAGATGAAAATATCTAGTCTGCCTAGAAATTGTCGTAACACTTCTAATGATAACAACTTACATCTCGTGATTTCACCGGTGAAACAAGAGAGTAAATGAATTATTATTAAGTAATATGTGGTGACCAATTATCAGAAACTACTATGGTTATGAGAAAATGAAGACTTTGTCATTTGAAAATTGTTTCAATTCATTCCTGTATTGAAATAACTATTGACGAATTTATAGAAATAATCTGACTGTGAGCTTCTAAAAATATCAACTTTCTGTATCGCCTTCAATATCCAATATCGTTTTTACGAGCTAGTATAAACCAATTTGATTTCTTTGTGCTCGCCTCTTGATTGTGAGGTAGAGGTTTCTGATCTTCGGTAAACGTCTGCGCAGCTCGTCCCGCCACTCGACTGCCGTAGCTTTGGTTGACTCCAAAAGGAGTAGTGCAGGGATTAATTATATGTGGTTTGTAGTATGAGGTGTGTTAAGACTGTTACTACTGTGAATGGAGTTGATCCTTTCACCAGTTGGTCCTTCGGTATCGTCGTCAATAGAAAAGAGATAATAATAATAATAGGTATAATTAGTAAAGGTATTCAGACTAACAGACAGAAAAAGAATAAGAAAACGTAACAACAGTCAGTCAACCGGCATATATATATACCAGTAATAATAATATTATTAATAATAATAGGTGTAGTTAAGGCTGTCAGGAGAGTAAGACTGAAGAGAATGTGAAGAGGTAAAACGACCTTTGAATGGTGTATGCGATTTTAAGGGGATAGGCCATTTGGATGAAGTCCTTGTGTCGCTGCATGGTTGTCCAGCCTTCGCTTAGAGGCGTCCACAGATGGTGCCATAGCTACATCTACCGGTAAGGAATTCCAGGGACGGCAAACCCGCAGGGAAAAGAAGTGGGAGCACACCCGGGTCCTTGCCCTCTGATGCGCTATCCTTCTAGGATTTCCACGAGGGAGCCTATACCTACTCAATGGCAGAACACCCTTGTTTGGGTGATTCTAATCATTTGTTATTTTGTAGGCAGTAATTAAATCCCCCCTAAGACGACGGTAACTAAGTGTGAATA